GCTTGCATTTATTAACAATAATAATAATAAAAAAAGAAGTCGGCTGAGGTGCCCAAGCGGCACGCGGTGCGGTCGCCCAAGGGCGCCCAGACCCGAGCCCGCTCGCACACCTGAGGAAACGCAAACGCACAAACGGAGCAACCTGGCGTCTCCTCGCTGCTGCTCAAAAAAATAACCCATAAGTCACCCAACCGCTGCTTTAAAGTGAGGGCATGGCTCTGCTTTGAAAACCTAATTAGAATCGGTGATAATTTGGGGTTTTTTTTTTAATATCAAGTCTACCTTGAAACTTGGCTGCTTGAGCAGAAGGCTGAAATGAACCGCAGGTGAAGACGGGAGGCGATGCAGAACGGGAAAGCCCGAGGTACGGCAGGTGCGGCGTTCCTGCTCTCCAGGACGGACACACCCAATTAAAGATGGTTTAAGCTCTCGGGTAACGCTTACTGGACGTTTCGGTTTCGTCGGTCTTTCCCATACTTGTACAATACGACGAGGGTCTCAAAATACAGTAGGAGGACAAACGGGTTTTGCTGAAGCGAAGCGGACTTCTCCGCCTCAGCGCTTCCAGCAGCACAGCCGAGAGAAGGCGTTCAGACAGCACGAGAACGGACTCGGGTCCAAGCAGCCAGGGAATCGCGCATCATTTAAGCGCTGCAACGGGCAGGTGCTTTCGCCGTCACGCCGTGTCTCCTCTACCTTTCTACTTTCTGCCAAAGATCTCCCAGAAGTCACCCTGCACGCGTGCGCCCGTACCACGCATGCTGGATTTGTTAGGGAGTTATACCCGCGCTTCTGCCACTGCGTTATCCCAGCAGCGCTACGGTCACAGAGCGAGGAAAGCCACTGCGGCGTGAAGTTCATCACCCCTTGCCCTCTTTGCAGCCTCCTAGTGCTCCTGTAATTCTCCTTCGTTGCACCTTAAGACACCCTTTCCTCTCTCAATTCCTTGCCTTCAGCCCGTCAAGCAACAGATGCAGGGCTTGGCCCTGTTTTACTCCCTTTTTTGTAAAATGTCTTTCTAAAAATAGCCAACATCTCTTTAACGAACTAAGCAAATCTTTAAATACGCTTTTATAAAGCTAGTAAAACATTTTTTAAAATAGTGTCAGAAGTAACCAAATTGCCAGTTTTTTGCAGCAGCAAAATACGTTAACAGAGAATAATAATACATTATTCTCTGTTTTAATGAGACTCTATGCAGTTTTACCCCTTCATCAGAAAAAAAAAAACAAACAAAAAACCACAAACCCACCTAAAAAACCCAACAACCTCCCCCCGTAGCTCACGCTTCTTCAGGCACGGAGGCATTTCTAGGATTATTCTGGAGCAGCGGGTACAGTAGCAGCTCAAAAGCCTAGAAAGCCATCGCCTACAACACCGAGCACTTCAACCATCCCGACCCGCAGAAGCGGCTTGCGGCCACCTCCCTCCCAAGCACAGCGCCATTTAGTCAGGTGTGATGAGATCAGATCACCTGGTGGCGGCCCAGGTCTACCTCAAAGAAGAAACCCCCCTCCAGCTGCTTGCTGCTTTGTTCAAGATATTTGGAAATTAATGACCTTTTGTGGTAAAGGCTTGAAATTAAAACATCTACCACAATTGTTCTGTGCTACTATAAGCAAACCACATAGATATGTTAATGCACGTCTCTGTAACTGCAGATTTAAGCTCCAACCATTGGTAATAAGGGAGGAGTTTCTCTTTTCATAAATAGAAAAAAATATTACTATTGCTTCTAAGCACTTTTTGTACAAAAAGTGACACGTATTCTTTCTTCACTTTAAGTTTATATCAAGAAAGAGAAAAAAGGGTAGAATGATTAAAATTAAAGCAAATCTTCAAACTCTTCGAAGCATTTTTCTTTGCAACTAAGAACTCTATTTTCGGATGCAGTAAATTTACTAATCAAGGACACGCCAATTGCATATTGCAGTGACAAATTTACTTGCAATAGAGGAAAGCATTCTTACTGGATAATTTTGACAGGGAAAAAGGGCAATATCTGTATACGTTTACATCTACATGCCTGCAAAACAAGAGTATCAGTCACGCTACCCATTCAAAACCATTTTCACATCTTTTATCTGGTTTCCAAAATCAGAAGCTAAGCAGAGGTTAGAGTGATATGAAAGTACAGAGGCCCTACCTAAGCCACTGGTAAGAAGGGGATTAACCTCCTGTTTCCTCTTTTTCTCGTACAACTGTTAGAAGATAAGGAAGCAGATGTGCAGGCCAGCCGGCACTTCAGGAACGCTGCAATACTGCAGTGCAGGAACCTGAATAGACCAGGAAAAAAACAGGAAACTGATTAAGGGTTAACGAAGGGGGGGCAAAAAAACAGTAAAGGTGACCAGTAACGTGGCAGCTTGAGAAGTTTTTGTACATACTTGTTTTGCTAACTTTGTGGTAGTAGGCGGCTTACTGTATGCTTTATTGGACACCCAGGGGCCGAAGAGTATATAAAAAACTTCTAGAGTTACCTAAGACTCATCCTTAACTCTTTGTCCACTTTGTGTCATCCCTCTTGTTACTTTCTAGCAGGGCAAGTCAGACTTCCTTGGCAAAACTCACAGTACTTTTAAGAGCACAGTATTTAAAATACTCGTATTTGAAAGAGGCTGATTTACTCTACATGGAACCAAGAGAATAACAATTGTTATGAGCCACTTTACATTTTAAAGCTTATCTTTTATCTTGCGTAGAAGCATCCAAGTGTACCAGGAAACCCTGCAAATTACAGGATTGCGTAATATAGTACCACTTTGCTCCTGTAATACTTTTTCATGAGGAATTACACATGCCTACAGACTATACGAACCTCCTCTCAATACTGTATAACTTATCATTACAGCCAAGCTGACAGAGAACCTGACAGTTTAAGATAAAGAAACTTCCCTGCCCAACCAACTGTAATTAAGATCAACATTTTAAAAAAAGCGACACAGGACAGAAACAATTAAGATAAATTTTAAAAAGTATATATTAAGTGCCTCAAAATGTTAGCAGCTACCGAGCAAAAATAGCATTCCGAGGATCCAAGGATTTGCACTTTCTAATCTACTATTTAAAGAGTATCTATATACATGCACATGACATTCCAGCAAGAAAAGCAACCAGACTCCATTCCTTCATATAACGGTACCTTTTTGCAGACTTTCTAGAGTAATACAACACAAGTGATCTATTCTCGCTAAAAACAATTGCTGAGCCGTCACTTTTGAGGGGGGTGTTTTTTGGACTTGGGAAAAGAAAAAAAATGACAAAAAGCTCCATTTGCCAATGATTAGATGTGTTCTGTTCTAGATGGTGATCAGCACTTAGGTGCCAGGAGAGAAACGTGTAACCAAAACGCTAAAAAAAAATGACCTGGGTTACTCAGGGGTAACACACCAGACCCAGCTTCTCACTCTGTCCTGAGCCTTTCCTTTCAAATGCAGACAAAATGCACCACCCGCTCCGTTTGTCCTCCTCATGTTTTGTCAGTCGTAGCATCAGTATGCAGAGGTGTTACCGCGGCCTTTGCTTTTCAGGCAGCCTAAGCACCAAAATAAAATCGATTGCATCTTGGTTGCTGGGTACAGCTGGCAGGCTTCAGTCAGAATGACTGCTCCAGTTCCAGAGAGTAAGCCACAAACATTTTCCAATACTTTTGTGGGTTTTATTTTTTTTTTTTTTTTTTGCACATAAACATCATCAAGACTCGAAGATGCACCCGCCAGTAACATTTACAGCTATCTGTTCAAAGCAGCCTTTCAGCTAGCATGTAATATTCCCATTCATACAACAGACTGCTGCAGATGATTGAAATAACCTCCTCTTCTCCCAGCAGCAGCGCTCCAAAACCCTACCACCACCTTCCCACCTTGCAAGAGCAACCATCGACAGCAAGGGCGATTTTGTCAATTACTGCTGGACAGTCCTACAATATGCTGTGAATTTATTACGGGACAACACACCGTTGCTTGGAACACAGCAGCAAGCAGGAAGAAGTTGTACAGATTTTGGACCCTTTTAAAGTAGAAGGGATTTTAAATAAGCCTGGGAAGTTCTACCACAATGAAGCCGCTGAAAAGTATAAAATTGCAATCACAGCGATATCTTAATTAGATGATACAAGCTTATTTTCTTTACTAGGTACCGCATGTAGAAAAACATGAAAGCAGTATCACTGTTTGTTATGTAAAGCTTTTATCTTGTACTGTAGATTAACTACTCTTCTTGTGCTACAGTACTAGTAGGAGTAAAAAGGATTACAGGATGACAGTGAAATGCATTTAGAATTCCTGTTAACAAGAAAGAAAAAAACCCTCACACCTAACTGGGTTTTTTTTAGGATTTTTATTGAAAAACTTTAAAACAAAAAAAATGATCAAGGCCAGTTTTACAATAAATTTAAGACATACAGAATAGCTTACCTGCTATTTGGATTTAGTGCAGGAACCTTATTCCAATATTTTTCTCATGCAATTGCTGGATTAAAACCACATTCTCTTTTAACATCAAAATGGATTATTAATAATGCTTTCTTAGGATTTAACCTTAAAATCTGGTTTAAAAAGTCAATTTTCCAAAGGTTAAAAACATTTGCACAGCAAGATTCCCCCCTTCACAGCCCAGCTAATAGCTTCCTGTGTCTGATAACTGGCAGAAATAGACCACAGAGCTCATTTTTCCTTTTTGTTGTTCTAACCTGAGAAATTTCTTAAACGCTTCTTAGTGGGCCTTCATATTTGGCAACATTACTTTAGTTACACAGCAAAGTGTGATTTCTCATTCTTGTCACAGAGACCAGTCTTTCACTACTTATCCCAAAAGACACTCTCACAAACAGGAGTTACATTAGCATAAATCTGCTTCTGTGAATAGCACGCCCTTTCGGCAAGTTAAACCTCGTTAGTAGTATCATCAGAACACTAACCTCAGCACGTCAAGTTCCCATCAGTTGTGTAATTCCTAGCATTGTGCGCTTTGAAAATATTTACTTTGGCACGTTATACTTTGTAGGGTAGAGAAGTTGACTTTTTTTTTGTGCTTACTGCCCGCCTTACAAACTTTGCCTTTTCTGTCTTCCATTTATTCAAGCCCTTTCCCTTGCCACCAGTTATCTCCCTTTCTGATAGCTGCAACAGAAACAGGACATAAAGCACACAAATACATTTAAAATGTGAGATCTAAAAAAGCTGGTCAACAGCAGACAATGGTCTTGTAAAACACTCTTAGTTGATGAATGAGCTTGTAAAACGTAAACCCCATAAATCTTTTAGTATAGTATTCAAGCCTTCAATTTTAAATTTGCAAGCTTACTTATATTTGATTTCAAACCTTCCAACATTCAGAGTTTTACTACATTTAAACGTGCTAGTCACTTCGCACTTGCTCCCAATATATATAAAACCAACAGACTAAAGAAACGATGAAAAACCACTTGAAACAAGCAATTTAACTTCCAACATAATATAACTTCTTTTGCATTTTCAGTAAATTTGTACGTTAAATAATTCGGGTTATTGTAAGTTGTTGCACTTCAGTTTTACCTGAACTTATCTGATTTTCAAGTGGACCATGATTTCTTCCCAGTCACTAGTCCTATCTGCCAGACTAAAATTCAAGAGAGTATGTTTATAATAAACTGAGCTTTGTTTGCTTCATACTCTGCCTATTAGAAACCATTTACGCTAACCACGGCCATCAATGAAGTGCTCGATTTGAAACGTATAGAAGTCACACATCCCGAGAAATGGCTGGATTTTTCTGTTTGTTTCTGTGTAACTCTGGTCCTGACTGTACTAAAATTAATATTGAAGTGTTTCAGTTTTCAACTTCTCTGCAAACTAGCTTTAAAAGACTGTTACAGGAGATTACCACATAATAGGATGTGAACAGATACCATACGCAGCTGATGCGTGACAACCATTTACTCTACTGTAATTTGTTGGCATTTTTGATCCCAAAAGAGGAAACAACAGACTTCGGATTTTCTTAAACGCATTCATAACCCTATTTTTTTTATTTTCTATCCAATGAAAAAAACAGTGTTGAAAAGTAAGGAGCTAACCTAACTGTTTTGATAACCCTTAGTCTCACATACATTTTTAATATTATACAGTGAAACTGTATTTTGCATATCAGCGCTGAGTGCACCTTAGAAAGGACCTCTGTTGAAATATTTCCAACAGGTCTTTATAGCACCATATCATCTGCTGTTGATTTAACTGCTCAGAATCAGACTCTCTGGGCCACTGCTTCTAAAGAAAAATAATGCCATTTTTATTTCCTCTAGCATTCTAAAAAAAATTTTTAGAAGAAAAAGTTTATGTTATCCAACTGAATGCATGTAAACAGTTAATTACTAGACATGCCATTTTCACTTATTTGAGTTTTGTGACACTGACCAATGAATTGCTACACAATTCTTCTGGAACGGCACGGTTTAATTCAGTGGCAGAAAAATCTCATGGATGCATTGAATGAAAATGTCTTTCCCTCACTCTTCCTTGAATTCTGAAAGTCTCTTTTTGCAAGATTTGATGCTGCCCCTTCTGTTATAGCTCATTTTCAATTCATAACAGAGAAAATCAGCGACAAACACAAAAGGCCAAGGGCTGGCAAAGCCGTAGTACAACACAATAGGAACAGCAAGGGGACGAGGAAGCAAGAGGAAACCAAGGTACCTGGAACAAACTAGAAACACAGTAAACGCAAGAGAGCATCTTAGCCCAACAGCAAATTTTACATTCTTTCAACACTTGGATCGGTCTGTTTTCAACTGACAGACAATTCAGAATTTATTCGGAATTAAAGGAATACACAACGTGATTAAACGTGAAGTACATGAACCATTCATGCACTAACAAATGCTGCCGTCGTTTTTTCACAGGTAAAGCTGAAGCGAGTGTGTCAGAATGGCATTTGGTTGAAATGAAAGTAATGCTGGTACTTTACCATTTTTGATAACTTATCTACAACAGTCAAAGTCAGTGACCATCTCTACTCAACGTTGCAAGAGGCTTGTTTTCCAAATATGAGTTCCAGTAAGTGGAAGTACAAATGCGATCAGTTTGAATACGTTATGAAGATTTTTAAACTGCATATTTCTGAAGAAAGCGGTCAAATGCATCATAAATCGCTTGTCTGAAACAAGGAAAAAAGATCATTCATATCATTTGTATAATTGGGCAGATAAAAGTGGCACATTCCCATATATTTACGAAGCTATCATCACAATTTCAAACCAGCATTCAATAAAAATGTGGTATTAAGTAGTCGTTTCTCCTTCACTTATTTCTGGGATCTCTCACTTCAATCCAGCAATATATCTATGTTTCAGGAACGAGTGGGACTGTTTACCAACTTTAACACGAGTGCAAATGTTAATGGATGAGGAGTTTTCTACTCAAACATGTCAAGAAATGGGTCAGAGACATGCATAATTTATAAGTTTTGAGCAACTGTCATAAAATAAGGCTGAAGTTTTAAATAGCAATAAACTAGTGGTTAGCATACCTTGACCTGGTATATTGCTAATCCTTTTTGCTGTTGCTTAGACTTCCTAAATGAGACGTACAGTCTTACTAATTCCTTATATTTTAAAATTAACAGCACAAGTATTTAACTTTTTAAAACTAAGGAACTGCATTTATATAACTGATTTCTATAACTGTCTTCAGAAAGTCAACGCCTAGACAAGAATTCACGCAAGCACTACTCATTTGCAGTCAAGCTTATATTTTAATTCTCATCTTCAATTGTGTGGGTTTTTTTAATTCTCAGAAGACAACATTTGCAAAAGACAACAGCTGCGCAATACAACATAAGCGGTGACTGCTTAAAAAATATCTTCTAGTGCCCAGTGAACAAACTAACGAAAAGCTTTTATAGGAAAACAAAAGAGTGAGGAGCATCATTCTCTTGCCATTGGCTTACTGAACGATCCGAGCTATGTTGCACCTCATCTTTGCTCAGAAAATGGAAATGCTGCCATTCTCTTTAAATTATTTCAGATCCAATAACTTGTTCTTCAATGCAGTATTTGGTATTTGTTGCTTTAGAGTAATTATAGACTTGCTTTTAGAAGAAAAATTATGTGTCTCAAAATTATGGTTTTAAGCTCTCAACTGTTTTTAACCTTTCCTAATTACTTTACCTGAAGAGCCCTTGTTTGAAGAGGTAGGCACTGACGTGACCTCCATCCAGATACCTAATTTCACATCCAGGCCAGATTTCTTGAAGACTGCGCACCCCAGTTCGAGGAATATATGCATCTTCCTTAGCTTGTACAACTATGATTAAACTTGGGTCAACTGGAACTAAAGAAAAAGAAATCAAAATTGAATTCATCTAACGTAAGAAATAGAAACATGTCAGCTGAGATTTCTGTTGTAAAAATCCGATTTTTAAACAAATCAAAATCATTCTAAGCTTCAATAAAATTATATTTTCAAAAGCCTGCAGCACAATTTATCTGTTTTTTTGACATTACAGTAGCGAGGCCATCAGTAGAAAAACAAACTAATCAATCCCCTTCCCCCCCTTAAAGCAGAAAACTTCACAAGTCTTTGAGGAATGATAGGAGAATTGGCTTTCCTCTTATCAACAAAACTCTGTAGCATTCAGGTCAGTTCTCTGAGATCTCTTTTTTCAGTGAAAAAACCTAGGAGACATCTGAAATTCAATAGAGCAGAAGCGTCGTATAATTTTTTTCCTCAAGGAGATGAAAAAAGACAACTTTTCATATGAGAGGTCAGACAAAGTGCAGTACATGTTCACTTTCTTTTCTGTTTCCCACGTGTTTTAGTTACAACATAAAAATCCCAGCGTATTGTTATATATATTTATTACTCATAACCAGAATTGCACCAAACAGATTACTAACAGGAAAACCACCAAAATGATGTTGAGAAAAAAAACACCAAAATGATGCTGAACACAGAACAGTTCTCTCTTCACAAAGAAAATACGTGGTATGGTAAAGAGTGACCAGCCAAGATACCTTGACAATGGGGTGTCACAAAGAATTGAGACCCTCTCCTTCCATATATACTAGATCATGTATAGAGGGTATGTAATGCTAAGATAGATTCTGGGCTTCCATTCAATTTTCCATGAAATCTGAATGTTAGGCAGACTTTCTGAAGCTCCCCTCTAGACACACTCCAAGGATACCTTGGCAGCGGATGCAATGTCTCCCAGAGCATGAAGAGACCTGGGAGACAACTGACACGAAGGACTACACCACTTTGACAAGTGCGCTAGGATCACAGATCCTCTGAAGTGTCAAGAAAGGTCAATGCTTTAGCCAAGCGATACCTGGATAAGTGTCTAGATAAACCAGAATGTCTGTACTTAGAATAAAGTTTACAGGGTTTTTTTCTGTCTACCGAAATAACTTTTAAAGCTTTATGGAAAGCACTTCACTGGTATTTGTCACAAAACATCCCCGGCTAGCAGTGATCTGGGACATTGTCAAGAAATCTATGCTAGTGTAGAAATCTTTGGATTTTTTTTTTTTTAACATTTTTTTTAAACATTTACCAGTGGAGTACTGAATGCCAGAATTAAAAAAATGAGGTGGCACAGGGTCTCAGTATCAAGAATGTTTTGACATTCAAAGACAACTCTGTCAGAAACTTGTCTGAAGTCCCAGTATGTTTTAGGACATGTTGAGTCCTCAGTGGGTACGTGCGCAGTCGAACCATTTCGTCCGAACGGACTGCCACAAAAGCAATTCCAAGCCCCCACTCCAGCAAAACCCTTTCCGTCAGCTCTAGGAAGAAATCACTTGTTTGCATTGCCTGCAAGCGGGCCATTGAAAGGGATTTGTCCTAGACGCCAAGAAGCCCAGGTTCATCAGATTTAAGGCTCGCTGGGCTACAGCTCCCTCTATACGCTATGCTTGTCTTGGGAAACACTATACTCACCAGACTCCGTCGTCCCAGAAGGACCTCTGTGCGTTTTTACTGGTCACACTTGTCTAACAATATCATTCAAGCTTGGTTCTCAGCTATGTAGGCTACTTTCTATCTGAAGTCAACATCAGATTTCTGCTTTATGAGATTTATTTGAATCTGCTTGAAAAACCTTATTAGCAGATTAATCAGATATAGGTATTACTCACATGACACAGATGTTTTATTCTTTTAAATAATACAAATTTGCACTAACTCATATCTGAAAATAGCCACAGCAAGGCAGAGAAAAAACGAGCAAAGATACTGAAAGGCAAATTTTTAATTCACATTATCATTAGTTGGCCATTAAGAAGCAACAGAAAAACAATTTGGAAATGGAGTGGGAAATAGATGCTACTGAATAACACTCAAGATATTTTCATATTTCAGCTAAGGTGCCAGCAGGTATACGCAATGGAGAATGAAGAAAATACCTTTCCTTCCATCGTATTGAATTCAGTTTTCCAAACTGCACATTAAAACAAATAAATACATACCTGAGAAGTTAGCTACATGGGTACATTCATCCATTACTCCTTTCATGAACCTTAAGGATTCTCTCTGTAAAGTGTCACTCTTCCTTCTTTTATTTATCCTGTGTCCTTGTGGGTTGGTTAAGTTTTTATTGCTATTGCTACTGGTTGAAAATGTTTGATTTATGCACTGCATTTTAGGAGCATCTTGTATTAAGAGTCTTTCTGATGAGGCACTTAGAGTACTTTTATTTGTGGTAAAGCTGTGAATAGCTTCTTTAGATACCGTCTTGTCTGAGGAGTCAAGGTCAAACATTCTGGAAGTCACGTCCACATCCTCCAGACTGTCCACGCTCTCAGGGAAGTTTTTAACAAAGTCTTGTCCCATCTTGAAAGAATCTGTCTAAACAAAGGCAACAGGTCATTTATTAAGCGTTTCTCCTTTAAACCAGCTGGTTAATCTTATTTTTAAGATCAACTCAATATTAAAAAAAAGAAAAAAAAGGATACAAACAGCACTGCTCACAGTACTTGTTATTTTCAGCCTGCATGTCACTCAATTAAATCCTGATCATCATAACCTCTTGATAATTTCATTCTACATCTCTGTCAGCTTAAAAAATGCAGGAAGTACTTATATATGGTAGCTTATGATACAAACGTTTGTTTTTAATTCTATATTAAACTGAATTTATAATTGCAGTCGTTTAAGCTTAAATTTCTGGGCAATAAACATATGTGACCAGGTCTAACGTTAGCTTTAGGACTGAAAAATCTGCTGTCTCTAAATACTAGGAAGACACAAGCTGAACATCTTGAAATGTTTCTTCTTTTCATTTTGTCTGCTCCATCAGTGTTCCTGGAGTGTATTTTACTTAAAAATGGCAAGCGCCTGAGCAACTATCTCCACCCCAGCCCCTCTTCTCCTGTCGTAAGATAGTTGAAAAAGGACTGTCACAAAGCAAAGAATCTTAGAAAAAAGGTTATTTATCAGAATTGGCTAGAAGACAGTGTTGCAACATGTAAGCAATTCTCCAAAAGTTATCACTCCAATCTAAAAGAGCAGCGAGGCAATGAAATTCCCCTTCGGAAGAGTCTTTCAACCCTAGTAAAAAAGAGTCAGGAAGAAAGAAAAAAAATACACAGACAATAAATTATATTTCATAAGGAACAAGAGACTAATTACAAAAGCTCTACCTCATGTTTATCCCAACCTCCTGTGCAATAACAGTCTAAAGCTGAGGGAGGGCTAGCATAACGCATAGAAACAGAGAGACCTAGCACTCTAAACAAACTAGAAAAGTAACTTTATGTTGCTACATATTAAAAATATTCCACAGCACTGCATATTTGCCAGCAATTGCTTCAAAGGGCAATAAATCATGTCTTTATATCTATGCGCCAGGCTATTGGTTTTCCAGACTATAAAGCCAGTTACTGGGAAATATTATCTACATTTTCAATGTTTTGATTAAATTCATTTTATGTTGCAGATTACACTAAGTGTGGTCACAGAAAGAACTTGTAGCAAGGGCTATTCTTAACACACATACCACCAAAATATTAGCTTCTCTTTTTCAGAAGGTTTTCCTTCAAAGATTGAATGTATCAAAAGCATAAAGAAACAACAGGCAAACATGTTTTAGCTAACAATTGACTACTTTTACTGGAAGTAAAAAGAAGTTACATTGTTTGTTAGATCTGCACATGTAAATATTAGCAAATAGGGAAAACAAACTATACTTACTCCACAGTATTCAAGCATTTGAATGATTTCCTCTTCGTAAACAGTTTGCGTAAAATACTGTTTCTCTAGCTCTCTCCAGTTCACTGCCTTGCTCAACACACCCTGAGATTATAAACACAAGCATCCAGTACACAAGTAAAACTCAGAGATCATTCTAAAGTAATGCTATACAGAGAAAATCGATCTGTTCCTCTCTGTGACTTGATTTTTCCAGTGGAATTCTGCCCAAGTTTCCAGATAACCCTCAGAATTATTGTAATCAAAGCATAAGCACATATTATAACATAGGCCATGGAAACCCACCTCCCTTTAAAAAACAAACAAAGAAAAGGGAAAAAAAAAGAAGGCAGTAAACAGTCCCACTTAGGGTTTACACACATCTAGACTGGGCTAAACCAATGATGGGTGTCTAAGCCGGTCTATTTGTTCACCTGCCCCGGCAGCAGTAGTGAAAACAGGCACCTCTCATGGTAGCAGCAGCAACTATTTAACCCAACTATTTAAGCCAGGCTTTGACCAGAAGAAAACATGTTTTCATGGCTTGCTTCCTCACCTTCCCGCATCCAGACCAGGACTCTAATCACTGTCCCACAAACCAGCCCCAGCCCCTAATTTGGCCCCTGACCCACTGAAGTAGCTCAAAGCTACCCTCCTTGCCACGTGTTGCACATCCTGAGCAGGAAGGGTGGGGTTTGCCACGAATCGCTAACAGAGGCCGAAGGGTGCTGAAGTGCCCTAACTGAAGAGGTGAATGTGGCCAACCCAAACCTTTTAACTTACGTATCTGATTACATTCTAGTATGTTAACAAAAATATATGTTAATTACCGTAGTGAAGACTGCAGAAGCTGTTGACCAGGAAAGACACGGAATCAATGGCAATGGTTTAGGCCAGTTTGTCACTGCCAGTGAAGCCATCTAGAATCAAAGGCACTTATTACATATTTTAACATTGAATTCACAACATGGTAAAAAGAACACTCTCACCTTCAATTTATTAGTTTATACAGCATCAAACAAATACGCAGTACCAAAGCAATTAAGGACTGTGGCAGTTGGATATACTTTCACCTATTTAGAAGATACAACCTATTCTTCAGCAATTTGCCTAACAATAAACATTGCTCTGGATAGGACTAATTTCAAGGCTGAATGGCTTTTTGTTGTAAGAATTCCCAATGGAATATTTATTCTGACCTTCTAGTTGTTTGAAACCATGAAAAACATCTATAAAGCCTTTTCATCAAGCTCTTGAAAGCTTATTTCAAGGCAAAATGAAGACAATCTACAAGAAGGACTATCTGACATTCTATACTTTTAAAATATGTAGACTGGAAAAAAAACGTGGAGGTGAAGTAATTCAGCATGTTAAGTGGACTCTTTCTGTCCTTTAAAGTTTAAATTAGTACTTTTACATCAGTTCTCAGAACACATTTTTGTGAATATTCTGTTTATCCCAGGAAAAAACAGAGCAAAGCAAAGCAGCTCAATGTACAGAAGTTCCCTATATGATATGTTCTTGCCAAGTTTTATTTTATTGCTCTAAACGAAACAACAGTGTAAACCCTTTAATACAAAATACCCCATGTCTGTGCCATATGTTCTAGTAAATGGATTTATACAACTGAACTGTAATTCTATTTTAATTATTTTTTATTAATAAAAAGTTACAAGAACACCACATATCTATGTTCTGATAGCCAGAAAGTCTGACTTCTTTCTTCTCAGTTCCAGCTCTCCCCATCAGTAGAACTGAATTAATGCTACCTACCTTCTGTTGTAAAACACATTCTATAGATGATCATAATCAAATATGATTTATTTCCCTGGTTTTAAATTGTACCAGAAGTCCTGTAAGTAAGTCAGGACTAGCCAAAAATGTATCTTCCTGGACTAAGAAAAAAAAAGCCAAAGGAGTTTCCAAACTCACTTTCTCAGATCTTGCCTCCTTCTATACCCATGCCGTATGTGACCATTGGTATAGGGTACAGGACTCGGTTATTCCCACAGCATTTGAAGTGTCCTGCATGTTAGTGGTGCATATAGCGGTTTGAGAACTCTAATCCAACTTACAAATAAGACAGGGAAGACACATTTAACACAAAAGCTGTTGTTTCAGCAGGGTAATGTTTACGTAAATCAAAGGTGCTTTGTACATTTATGACATTTAGAGTTATAAAATTGTGCTTTGGGAGAAAATTATTTCCCTTTCAGTAGCCACTAGCATTACCAACATTATTTACTTAGCTCCGAACAACAAACAAGCAAGGATCAGCAAAAGAGAGGGATGTGGTTTTAATAAGCTTTGTACCTATATCTCACAGACCAATGATTATCTGTTGAGACACAAGCAGTAATATTTTAACTGTGTATTAGTCTTTCAAGCATCTCACTAATACACTGCTGTTTTAGTTTGAATATGCACAGTGTCACACACAAAATCTTATCCACCTCACCACAGAAATCTTCTCTAATCAATAGCAATGATCAGGTAAAAAAAGATGAGTTGAGAACAGAATTGACACCAAAAGTCACCTCAATTACAACATGACTACCAAAAGGAGGCATTTCACACAATGCATTCAAACACAACAGTTTAAGCAAGAAGAATGGAGGAAAAGAGAGAGAACTAGCAATTGATCAGTACAGACCTTCTTTCAGAAAACATTTCTCTCACCCCTTGTGTAAAAAACCATAATTATGTGAGAAGATTATATTCTTATTAAGCCTGTCAGGAGATGGCTGACAAAGGGCTCGATGATTTGTCAGCGCTTATTGAGGATTACACTAATTCAGCACCACAGAACATGAGAATTGCCAACAATTTGTTTCTCATGACTCTAAATGTTTATTTTAAAGTACTTCTGAGAGGAACACTGTAAAAGAAATTATTTCCGTATGCTAAATGATCAAATGAGAAGTTAAAACAAGAATTACCAAACAGGAAATATAAAAGCTTACATGTCCTCCCATGGATATTCCAGTCATCCCTAGCGGTCCATAGCCTTCTCTCTCTAGCCAGTGCAAAAGAGCTGCCGATTCTAGAACAAGAGCTCCTCCCATCACAAACAGGTCCGAGACATTTTTTAAACATGACCGTCTTTTCTCCCCAGAAAAGGAAAATATAGGATTTATTTTCTAAGATTAGATTTTGACAGTTCTCATCATTCTATACATACTTTTATACAAAGCCCGATCACAATCCCAGAGACTTTTAGAGCTGAACTCCTGTTGATTCAACAGGAGAAAAAGCAAGTCCAGATTCTTTGGCACTTGTACTTTTTCATCTAAACGAGGACTAGAAATAGACACCTGCTAAGTTTCTAATGTAATACCACTGACAGCCTGCTCTTCTAGTAACAGATATTACCAACATTAGAATCTCATTAGTATTTATCTTCTGTCCTGTAGAGTTATAATGGATCTTTTAGAAATAGAATCAAAGTGATACAGTCCTTGACATACACTATCTCATTTGCAGAAACAATCCTTTTTTCTTTTTTTTTTTTTTTCTTATTTACCTGTTTTACATCATTGAAAAATTGCACACAACATTTGAAGAGCAATCAGTATGTCAGCTTTGGAAGCACTCATCAATGTCACTGTAAGACTGAAATTGTAAAGTGGGAAGTTTGCCACGGTACTGAGAAATTCATGTAGTGTACTGCAAAGCATTAAAACACAGAAAAAAAAAAGTAGAAAGCTATTCAGCTGAACCATCAGAAGGACTCTAAAAAGTGAAAAAAAAATTTATTTTACAGAGCAATTAATACACCTCTCATTTGGGCAGGGGAACTGCGTATTTTCAGTATCGCACAGTCAGGTTACAAAAGGCTACTGGCCTCTTCTGCAAGCATACGATCACATTTGAGACACTCTGAAGCACAAGGACAAAGCTTACTGTGCAAGCCACAGGAGAAATGAACATAGCTGCTGCAGACCAGTATTTACAGGCTCATGTAATCCTTTCCTACAGAGTTGTTACCAGATTCCTCAGACCTCTCCAGCTGCTCTATTTACTAAACACTGTTTAGTACCTAAAACACTGCTGCTTTGTAACCTTGTATCAAAGAGTGACAATTACGGGTTGGGGTATTAGACTGAGCACTTCCCTTTCAAAGAATCCTTCTCTACATCATGCAAATACTAAGCTGACAAACTGGACAACTGAGAGTTAGAAATATCCTCACCAAAATATTTAGTTTATTCTTTTGCATCAGATCCACAATAACCAGGAAAAAAACACCAATGGATGTATTCCAGCACACACTCTCTCCTGTCACTTTCCTATCATCTTACACTTCCAAATGCAATAATAAATATATGTTTAAATATATGTTTAAATGCAATAAATAAATATTTGTTTAAGCAGTTTTCCTATCAAAGAAGCAATTTTAGAACAATCATCTTAGTTGGTAAATGTAATTCACTATCTTTAAAAAAGTGGTTCCTATGTCACAATAAATAAAATTCAGCATCTGCTTTGAAAAAAAAAAACAAAACTAGAAACTATTTTTGAATTAAAATTTTCTCCTTAAAAGTAATTTTTTTAAGCTTTTGGATTTAGGAAATCCAAACACTGAAATCTAAATAAAATCTAGAAAATCTAAAATTCTGTAGTGTGAGACAGTGCTCCTGGTGAAGTCCTAATAGAATGGAGAGGTTTAAGAATAAATCACCTTCTATGTGTCTTCTGCTCATGTTAAATGTCCAAGTTAGGATTAAAAAGGACTAAAACACCAACTCATATTTGGCCTTTAAGAAACAGTGGCAGACTAAAACCACAGCTTTGCCTCAGACACATATACTGTTGAATTCTGTTTATACTCCAGTGGTTGGGAAAATGTGAAAAGCAAAGAAACAGGACCGCCTGTTTTTAGGCTTCTAAATTCACATTTAAGAAACTGACTGAGGGAGCAAGTCCTGTAAAATACAGAATGTTGCATAGCTTCCACTGACTAACAAACAAGCAACACCAGATTTATTTACGTGTCTCACTGTAAATCCTTAAAATACCTTGGAAAAGCAAAATCTTAGCCATTATAACAGCAAAATACACTATCTGACCAAAGATTATTCACAGTTGACTGAAATATAACTGCAGCGTTTGTACATGCACAGTTGTCAATCAGGAAAATAAACTGGTACTTGCTGCATCTCACTCTATACTGCAAGTTCATCTATCTTGTGCAAACTTTCCTGATCACTGTGATCTCTTAACACAAAAAATGACAAAGCAGTCTAGCAAAGGGCAGACAATTTCACCTTAGCAGGTTACAGGTGGTCCATGCTTGGGATTTTGTTTTTTTTCTTAATAAGCTATCAAAGCTTATACTACTTTGAGCTTCTTGAGGAAAAAAAAAAAAGTGGTATTTCAAAAAGACAGTATCCATGAATGTAACAGTAATACTTACAATTGATCCTTAGGTTTTCTACAGCCATGTAGAAGACTCAAGTTAAAGAAAGTAAAAAATTTCTATATAAAAACTGGCAATTAAAACAGAAAATAAAGTAAAATAAAATATATCACATATATAAATAGCATGGATTAATTAAATTTTGGAACTTAAATTCCAAATGTTTCACTGGAACTAAATCAAGTTAAATGTAGTTTGATGATGTAATTTGCAACATAAGATTTTACTTTTGTCAGGTATATGGGTAGGAAAAAAGTGTAACCAGAATAACAGTGTTATAGAAGTTACTGATGAGTCGATGACAGGACAGAACTTAACTTTTTTTTAAAAACAAATCTTAAATGGTGGCAATAAGTTTGTCAAAAGTACCTGAGGTACCAAAGGGTTGCATTTGAGAAGGGAAAGCAGGAGAGGCAACTTTCCTTTCTGTCATTAATACACCCAGAAGTGACACAGTATGACGTAGAATGAATGCATAGTTTTCACCTTGTCATGGCTAAAGGAATCATATCCGTACTTTGATCAGTACACAGATTCATATCAGAACATTTACTCTAATGACTACAGTAAGAAGCTGTAGAAGACATCTTCAAAAAAATCAAAAAAGCAATACTTGGTGTAAAAGGAGCGTATTATATTAACTGTGTTCCACTTTGTGTTTCATGCAATGGTGATACTTCGCTCTGTGCTTCTATCCACTGAAAAGTCCACTGGAAATTGATCCACAAAGTAGATATTATACCAGTGTGATAAGCCTTCTACCTTCTGGAGAGAATGTTAAGAATAACTATCATGCTTTCCACAAAAGGATATAATAAGGATTTTCTAGCAACAGGGAAGCCATACAGGCTTCTTTAATCATTGGACGTGCCATCAACGTGCGTCTCCTCCAGAAGTGCTAAAGATAAGATATACAAACATATATTAAGATAAAATATGATTATTTAATTTCTCGATAACAATCAATTTTATATTTTACATACTCACATGATCTCCAGTGCCTGCTAAATGAATGCACACAGGTCTGTGCTTGCTATTCCATCTTCTGGGTATGATGAACTGAAATCTATGAGAAACAAACATCTATTTTAGCAAAGTAAGTGTATCTATTTACAAGCTGCACCAGAGAAATTACTCTAAAAAAAAAAAAAAAAAAAAAAGAATAAAGTATTTTCGTAACCCATGCAGGCAAACTGCCAGCAATTCAGCAATATCATTTTTCATAAATACATCCAGCAAAGAAAGGAATCCAAAAGTAGGACTGAATAAACGCCAAACAAGAAAAGGAGCCAAGCTGAAAGATCATGTTCCTAAAAAAGGCTGCTACCTCATCATCACAATTTAAATTTTGCCGAGTGGAGAAATGGAACTTTAGATGAAAAGCAGCCTAAACGAGTATGACTGGCTCTCCTAGGCAGCATTGCTATTTTTCTCCTGAAGGCACAACAGCTGAAATTGAAGATTAAGATGAGCAATATATTTATTACAAAAAAAAAAAATCAAAAACTTGACATACAAACCATGAAACTATTCTATATATGCAGCATCAATCACTTAATGTCTTCTGCTGCTACTCAAGTTATTTACAGTCTAACTACTGGGGGGAAAAAAAAAACAACACTCTGAGTCACTAGTATTTTCCCCACAAGACGGAGCACTGTTACTTACAGCAGTGTTACACTTCAGAAAAAAATATTCACACAATGCACAACGATCTTAAGGGAAATTGTAGACCATTTCAAAACTGTAACAATACTGTCCAATGTAACAGTTAGCATAATTTGACTACAAACTGTAAGAGAACATAGATGAGGAAATAATCAGTATACTGTATTTTTCAGTATGGTGCTACTTAGTCCAATAATGTTAAGAGACAGTTTCTTCCTCTAACCAATGGAGAGGTGGAAGAGAACTGATATTCTGACTATCAAACTTTTTCTGACACTCCTTAGTGTTACATGTTTAAGTACACCTAAAAACATCAACCAGTAATACTGATAAAATTGTCAATGCCAGTATTAACTTGAGCTGACAAACTTTTATGTTTAAGTTATTAAACAAAGATTAGAAAAAAAAATTCCATCATGAAAGTTCAGCTCTAAACTAAAAGCAAACAGAAATTATGCTCCCTTTCCAAACCCACTCCTCAACAGCAAAGCAGTGTCAGTGTGAAACCAGCAAAAATGCCGTTAGGTGTCTTCTGACTATTAGGGATCATCCAGCTTTCTGTGAGGATGCTTTTTTTTTGGCTTGCCAAGTAAGAAAGGCACCAGATTCTCTTGCTACAATTAAATGAACTTACTACATCAGTACACATGCAATATTTTTGTATTCAATGTAAATGGAAGGCTGGAATGGTTCCTTCAAAAACAATATAACATACTTCTTTCATATAAACAGCTTCTCCTGCTACGTATAAAACAAACAACTACTGTTCTGGCTATAGTATCCTTCGTTTCCAGCACCCTGCTCATTTGGAAAAAAACAAACAAATAATTAAAAAAAAAACAGCATATCCTTAAAAAAAAAGGACATACTTCGTTAGGGGATTTTTTTTTTTATTTACACACAGATTAAACTATCACATGAATAAAATGCATTTTCACTTCTGAGACCAAAATCTATTTCGACACATTAGTACACAAACCAGTTTGAAATTTTTTACAGATAATTTGTGTTACAATAAATCAGCTTCACAGTAAAACTCCTTATAGACCACTCTTATTTCTCTGCAGTACTAGTTTCAGAAAGGAAATACCGCTTGGTTTCTCTTACCTTGCTACAAGAGATTCGACTGGCAGTATACCTGGCACATAATGAGCCAATGGGGAAATGAAGTGCCCCTCGAGGATTTTACAGTCTGATTGCTCTTCAACCTACAAAGAGAAGGGGATGATAGTGTATTTCATATCAGTGTTTAACTTGCTCTCCAAGCCAATCTCTTAAAATAGAAGAATTTGTTATAGGATAAAAACATACTTAAAAATAGCCAAAGCTGAGGTGTATTTCAAATACAGGGATGCACATTATCAACACAGTCAGAACATTTGTTTGAAATGTTGCTTTTATTAAATGCCCTATTAAAGGAATCAAGGAATAAAGCGTAATGCTGTCCCATTTTAAATAACTTCCATAACACATACTAAGTTTTGAGCATTTTTTTTGAACTTTAAGATCTGACCCGCGACCCTCCAGCTATTGTATTATTGGGGAAAAAATAAAACAGTATCTGCATAACCACTGCTTTATTCTCTCAGTTTCCTTTCATTCTCCACTAGTCGCCAACGTGACTGCTCATTTTCCCATCCCTTCCAACCCTGTTTCACATTTTTGCCGGCACCTCCTAATGCTATCCACAGCAGCTCAATTTAAAAAAAAAAAAAATCAAACCAGCAAACTGTTTTGATTATATAGCAAAGTATTTAGCTTACCACAGCATTGACCACCAGTGCATTTATTTGACTTTAGAATTACTCTTCATTTCTGACGCCCTATTCACACTTTCTAGAGTGAAAAGTCTTCAGGACAATGATTACTTCCATCTGCACACCTCCCTTGGAAGCACAGGGCCTCCTTTTTCCAATCAAGAACATTTGAGAACTCACACTACATCAATTTCTTTTGCCTCTGCGGCCTCACTTCCTCTTCCCTCATAGATCAATTCTAATGTTCTTTTCTTGATACAGAACAACTGGGAACACAGTGAAGTCAGTTAATGCCACCTGTTAGAAAACCGGTGATCAGCAAAAGCTAACTGAATGCTGTCAGAGGTGCATTCACCACCCTGTCTCTATGTACTCGCTAAGTCAAGTCCCCAGTTGCCAATCCCAGCAGCAAGTAATGCTGTGATAACGTCAGACATCAGGAAAATGTAGATTCACAGATTCAATTCTTCTACCCTATAAAAGCAGTCTGGTAAGTACTAAGTTGATTTCACCTTTATATACATACCATCAGGAAAATAAATTTAGTTAAACTGCATCACCTCTTGCTTTTATGTACCTTGTCAATGAACACTGGGTAATCTTTCGAAACCAGCGTCTGGCATTTTTCCCTGTTTCCAATAATCTTTCTGAATTCAAATATTCTGTTGAAAGGAAACAAGTAGAGAAGATTCAACTTTTAATCTAAAAAAAAGAGAAGATATACATATATAAAAAAAATTTCAGGAGCTAAAGTAAGCCACAAAGAAAATAAAAGTTATGAAGCCAGCTTTGCATTTACAGATTAATCAGGTTACCATAGGTTAGGCATATAAGAATGTTTTTAATTTAGAAAAAAAAAAAAGGCTCAGGGACATTGCTTGTGGTTGCACAGCTCTTAAATAGTATTTTACACCTGGTATGTTGAAAACTTATGTCATTTTTCAGGGCCAAATTAAGACATAGCAACCTCCTACACTTACACATCCTTGTAGTCACATGGGGGCAATACAGACTGAATGGGTGAGAAACAGGCTGGACTGCCAACATCAAAGTGTAGTTGCCAGCGATCCGAAGGCTAGCTGGAAACAAGTTACCAGCAGCACTGAGGGAAGTTCATGAATGACACAAACTGGAGGGTGAGGTTGATAGCTGGAAGGTAGGGCTAGCATTCAGAGTGACCTGGATAAGCTGGCGGAACAGGCCAACAATCAACCTAAAGCTCAACAATAAAAGTGCAAAATCTTGCAGCTAGGACAGAACAGCCTGATGCAACAGTACAGGCTGGGAACTTCCCAGCTAGGTAGCAGCTCTGCAGGAAAAGGCATGGGGTTTCTGGTGGACAGCAAGCGGAACACGAGTTAGCAGCACGTCCTTGCAGCTGGGAAGACCAATGGCATACCCTCTGCATTCAGCAAGAGGGCAGACCGCAGGTCAAGGGAAGGGGGTTTGCACTGCCTGGGGAACAGAAGGCTAAGGGGTAAATGTAGTTGCTTTCTTCTGCTACTTAAATGGGCTGCAGAGTCTTACAGAGAAAATTAAACAAGACTCTTCTCAGAGGTATACAGTGAGGACAAGAGGCAATGGTTGCATGTTGCAACATAAGAAATTCCTACAGCACTGGAAAAGATTGCCCAGGGAAACTATGAATAATCTCCATCCTCACAGGACTTCCAAAAGTCAAAGGGATGAGGTGCCAAGTGACTTGAATCAGCTAAGAAGTTAGCTTTGTCTCGAATAGGGATTTGGACTAGATGCCCTCAAGATGGCCCTCTCAACCTTAAATACTCTATGCTAAGAATAACTTGCTCATTCTTATGGTTGTAAACATACACAACGATGTTACCTGACCAACTAAACCAGCAGATGTGGGTGGAAAGTACAGAACAACAGTGTAACAGGAATGATCTGTCCACCTTCCCAACACCAGAGAAAACCAAACCAAAAGGACAGAAAGAAAATCCAGTTTACCACCGTATCAAAAATAGCTCCACTATATAGCCTTTGCTTTTCTTATACAGAACAGCACGTGCATTATGTATTTCTGAGAAAATAAGGGTAAAGGTATGAGACGTGAGTGTGGAGGGTAAGCTAAATGCAGAAATGTTTTGCTTGACGCTAAATCCTCTAAAAATACTGCATTTATGTATTTCCTCTGTAGTTAGGAGAATACAAGGAATTTCAACTCTTGCTAATGAGTTGAGGATAAAGCATTACGATATCAACAGTCATCACACCAAGGGTGTGCACATAAAACTTCAGATTACATCTAGGCAGGGTAGTCTGTAATATCAGTGAATCTCAGTTAATGCTTGAAGTATAAGAAATTTAATAATTTCTTCTAATGGAGCTTCACGGTGATCAGTTTAAAAAAGAAAAAAAAAAGATGACGCTGACACTGTTTCTGGCATGATAGGGCATGCACACCGGGGAGCGGTACTCCCTCCTCCCACTAGCCAGTGTGAGCAGTCAGGAAGAGGTGGTATTCTTCCTTCTTCATCAAGGTGACGCCAGGCTGCTGGGGAACAGCTCTTCTTCTTCCCAGTCAGGGGCAATACATAGAACAAATTCTTCTTCCACTTTTCAGACCAGCAGGCCAGCAACCCTGCCTCCTGTTTCCCCCACAGCTTTTGACCTCATGTGAGATGTTTCCCCCCACCCTATGTAAAAGGAAGAGCCACAGCTGATACCGTTATTACTACCAGCAATGTTTCTTTATTGCTGTTTGGCATTAGTGTCATTACCCTTATAGACCCCATGCAAGAGAAAAGCCTTGCCTAGTACTGCAACAGCAGAATTAGTCAGAAGTTCCCCTATATAGATAGCAATTGTGTTGGGGGAAGATGGGGACGGGGGAGTGAAACTTCATTATGTCTCACCAAGAACCTAAAAACTTTTAAGAGAGGGTTTTGAGAACATTAACATGTCCCATTTCAGATACACACACATGTAACAGAATACAGAAATGCTGCAATCAAAACAAACCCCACATTTTTTCTCATTCCAACAAAGGCAAACTAAACTTTTTAAAAATCCAACATTCTCATTTTGCAGGAAAGTCTGCTACTTAAGAGAAAAATCAGCTGAAGACAGACATACAGAGCAACCCAAGTGCCATTTTAAGATGAGATATTTCACTTGCACTTAAAACCAAAAAACAACACCCCACATAACTCCACTGCTATCCACAGTGGACAAACTTTTATTTCAGTATTTCTTTGAAATTTTCTTTATTGATTTTCAAATACATAGGAATTAGCTTATTAAATGCAGATTTATCATCTCCTATTTAAATACTACATGATGCAGAACATATATATTCACTCACTTAATTTTTAAACTTAAGAAATGCAAGTGCTCAGCTTCCAGGTGTTACTCTTAATAACTAATAAAAATCAGCAAACATTTAAAATTTAAGAGGTACTTTTTTTGTTTTTTCCTTATTTTCAAGATATCTAAAAAGAAATGAGTTTACTACTTTGGGCTATGAGAGAAACTTCTAATTACATCTTACATGTTTAAAGCTCATTATTATTAAGAAGTTACAGAAAGCTAGCAAGATTCCTCTGCACAAATTCAGCAACTTTTGTTTTTAGAAAACACTTTTCAGAGATGCTGCTTGAAGCATGTTATCATAAGTGAAAAATACAATTGGACACATATACATGCTGTCAAGAAAAGCCTCTTTAAACACAAACATTTAGCAAATCCCTTTAAGACTTCTTTTAAATCCAGTTCCTCCCTTGGAGGAGTACAATTTCCTGAAACATATGAAATTTCCTGAAACATATGATTTCCTGAACAAAACAAACTTTAACACCTTTTTTTTTTTTAAAAAAAAAAATACAGGATAATAACAATTGTTGGTACTTCAAGGGTTGTTTTTTTCTTTTAATATAAAGTAGTGTTTATGCTGCTATTTTTTAACAAGTCACCTTTTCAGATCCTCTGGCTTTCCCCATCCTCTGATGAAAAGTTTAGTGAGGAGAAGCTTTCTGTACAAGACATCTAATTTACTTACACCCATTAGCAGCAAACTGACATCTGGAAAAAAAAAACAGGTAAAACCAAGGCAGTTAAAGGGGTTAACTTAAGTGGCAAGTTCATTGATTGTAACACAAAGTAGGCTCTTATTCTGGTGTCTGTATTAATGAAAAGCCATACCATTTTATTCCAAGAAGTTAACCTTGACATTCAGGTCAATTCTTTTCATTTTAAACAAAATACAAAGGCAGTTAATACAAACTCTAGCTTTTTTAGGAAAATGGAATTTAGGAGTAGGAATTTAACATGCCCAATATAACCAGAAATTTATCACATAATTCACGACAAGTCAACTGAAGAAGCACATCAGGTCACAGAACTACATCTTCAACCAGTCCTAACTGTATTTTACTTGAACCGATAAAACAAAGAGTGGCACTGATCTCTCTCCTGTCAATACAGCTATGATGGCAAAAACTTTTCAGTCAACATGGGCTTTCATAAACACATCTCAGAATGGAAGCTTGGAACAATATTTGGTTTTAAACAACCAGAAGACTAGATCTCTAGCTATGTAATTATTCGTTTATAAAAAAAGGAAAAAAAAAAAGTAGTTCCAGTCACTGATGCAGAGAAAGCTTATTTTTGTAAACTTGTCTTCATTGGTGTCTTAAACATGTATCCTAACCCTTATTTTATCCATTCTTTTCCAATTTTTGCCAACTCATTTCTTACGGTTTTGAAAATGATGCTCCCATTCCCTTCAGGGAAGAAATCATACCATCAAAATCCTTACCAGTATTGCTTCTCTTTCAGCAAATACAGCTGAAAGCCAAATATAGCTAAAGCCAACAAGATTTTAGGCAGCTGGGTATTATTTTCAAAGCAATACTTACTGAAGTGAACAGGGAGCCACTACTGTGCTCTTCCAATGAGGAAGGAAGGAGGAAAAAAAAAAAAAAGAAAAGAGAACTCAAATCTGGTTTCTTGGTCAGCAGGACACAGGTTATTCAATTAAAAATGAAAAAAGGGTCCAGGATCTGTGTACACCTAAGAAAACAAAAGATTTAATAATCAAAGACTTAGTAAGTTACCTTCGACTATTTTCTAGTATTTCCAGATCCCTCCATACTAAATGGTCTAAATAACTTCTTCACACTCCAAAAGAGCATAATGTAATTCATGGTTGGTTTTGTTTTTTTTTTCCCCTCATTTCAATCCAAATTTAATTTATTCTGCCACACTTTAATATGGTCATTCTTAGCATAAACTTGTCTGAATATAACAAGTTAAAATTGTGGTCAGATTAATAAATATATCCCTTTGCACTTCCAAAAAGCCAATACTTAAGAACCAATATACAGAAAAAAGAAAAACGCTATAACACCTAGAGTAAGTTACTATCAAAACAGAAACTATAGACAACTTAAGGTACTTGAATACTAGAACAAGTATCCTAGCAAGTCACAATGGTTCTACGTTTAGTCATTACAGGGCAGAAATAAATACCTGAAATCACCAGAAAGTCAAAGTGGGGACCTTCTATTTTAACACTGTAGAAAGTGTTAGTTCCTACTCCACCAGTCCCAAACAGCTGATTCTGTAATCTTATTATTCTGATCCATAATCCTGCTTGGTCTAATAGAATCACAACCTCAATACAATCTTTTTCCTTGCCCACTCTGGAGGCATCCATTGACCTCACGTGCTGTTGGGGTGTCAGACAGCAAATGTTTGCTAGCCCCTGCAAGGTCCCTCCTCTGCTTTTTGGAGCAGGTAGACAGCTTGGTGCTAGAAGTGAACTAGGTGGTGGAGACAGGGACAGGAATAGAGAGTGGACCCTCTGTGGGGCTGGGAAGACAGTTCAGGGTGAGTACACACATGAGTAAATTACGCTGTCAGAAGTATACTAAAACTAGATTTGCAGTTCTATTGATACAATGCTTACCAGTAATTGTGAGAAGAAATTTTAACGAATGCTTTGATGCTTAACAAAGCAGCCTTGCATGTTTTGTTTGGTTGTTTTTTGTTGGGGTTTTTTTTGTTGGTTTGTTATTTGTTTTGTTTTTGTTTTTTTTTTTTTTAAATTCTCTCCAAAAGAAAAACCAAATAAAAGAGAAAACAAGAAGATGTTGATTTTGCTCTGAGTTCAAAGGCTGGCCTGATGAGCTCTCTCTGTTGCACTAAGGGAATGCCAAAACAAGTTTCTAGACAAGTACATTATATTTAAATGCACCACATTGATTGAGGTGAAAGGGTTGTCTCATCCTGTATTCTATTTCATTGAGTGAATAAAACTCTAAAGTAATTCAAGATATTTCAATTACTCAGATTCAAGATTAAACCACTACTGGAAAGAGTACAGGAAACACTAAACCAAAAAAATATTCCAAGTACGTGAAGTATGTTGTATAGAACTTCTCAGAAATATTACTGAGATAAAAGAGCGGTCATTTTGTTTATATTAGCAACAAAAGGGAAGGACATGCTTCAGTCATTGCCCATCAATGTCTACACATAAAGACAATTACAAATACTTTTACTGTCAGAAAAGGCAATTTTATAACTTCGCAATCGAAGTAAAGAGTGTATTTTAGCAGTGAGAATTTGAACGTGAGAAAAGAATCAGCAGAGGTTGTTTCAGAATGCGACCATTTCCACCACTTGATACCACACAGGTCACATCACGATCCCTTTGTAAGACAGGTCAGCTGGAAGCAGTGACCCGCCAGAGATGCTGCATAGTTGTGTAGCTCAAGAAACAGTACCTGTGTTATGAATATTCAATGAGTATCTTGCTAACACAGTAAGCTTTACATAATTTTAAGTTGTGAAGAGAAATCATAAGATACAAAGGCACATTAACGAGTGATCCATTAAAAAAAACAAAAACAAACCTACATTCTAAAATAGTACTTTCCAGAGAAGACGACAAGGAAACCTAGAGATAAGTTATAACTAGGCTCTTGCTCTAGGAAGAGTGCTTTTCTTTGCTTCCAGAACCCTCATACTGCATAGTAACTATAAATTTTTTGTGTGTACACTTATTTCATAGAAACACACAAACAAAAATTCATCCAAAATCCAATACATAAAAGGTTAGCTATTCCTTTTTACCCAGTGCATGCAGCTTCAGTTACATGAAAACTACCACTGGAAAGTGCAAAAAGACTTTACTAAAGGCCCAGGCTACTGCTTGTATACATGAATATGAAACAGCTCCCACCAAGAAGTCAACCTGAAAAAGCCAAGAAGGTACATCTGTTTTAGAAGGCTCCTTAACTTCCCTGCCCTGTTACTTTTTTTAAAAATCTCTCTTCCAATTAATGTCAGGTCAAGCTTCCCCCCCCCCCCCTTTTCCCCCCATAAACAAAAAACCCCCTCAAAAAAAAAAAAACCCAAAAAAAAAA